AAATTGCATTCTGGGAGCTGTAAATATAACCGCTGCTTCTGGAATCACACCACATAGCCATGTAATGAAGCATCCATGTAAAGAAGTACTCTTGAAGGCCTCAGAGCTCTTCAAAAGGTAAGTGTCAATGCTGCTAACATCGGATGTTTTTGCTTTGACAACATGTGGAGATGCAACCATTTTCCTTCTTATGTTTTACTCTTAGAATTAGAGTTAGAATTAGATGATTCTGGGGGAAAGAGGAGGAATGTGCATGGGAGTTTAGTTATGAGAATCAAGGTTTTTGAAATAAGAGATGATAAGAATTGGCGGGCTGGAGAACTGGAGAGAGTCTGTATTTCAAACTAATTGGAGAATGTGATTTATGACTGTAAATTAGAGGAGGGAATTGTGCTTTGATACTATGTGCTCAGGGGAGGGAATTCAGATTTTGGCTTTGGCTACGATGCTATGCTTTTCAAATAAAGATTCTTTAAGGTAAACAAGACCTCGAAGTTCTTTGAAGAGTTTCATCCATTGGAACCATGACAGTAAGTGGGAAGGAGGGTGTTTGGCCTGGTGGGATGGGAATCAGGCCTAAAGCTTGGGAGGAGAGAAACACAGTGGGAATGGGGAAAGGGGATATAAGGGGCAGAAAACAGAGCACAGGGTATCGTGGTGGGGGGAGATTTGGGAATGCTGGGCCTGTGCTAGACCTCCAAAGGCCTCCCCCAACCTTGAGACACCCTGTGTTCCCCTAACAACTGCATGTTGTTAAGAGCATGCAGGGATGGGAGATCACTAAATGAGATACTTCACTAAGCAGCCATTGCAACATGCAACTTTAATGGGCAGGCTTCATTACAGCCATATCTCAAGGACTAGCTGTATTTCTATTTTACCAAATCATCTTGGTAACACGCACCTGGTTTAAGAATGTCCTTTGGAAGAAAACAAACTTGTGGAAGTCAAATGTTAAGATAACTTTGGACATAAAATTTAAAACTGTTGGCAAATTGGTTCAGTTCTACTGACCAAAAGTATAACAGAATAATACAATAATTAATTCAACATAGGCTTAATCTTTAAAACTTTTCATGTCTTAGTTAGCTTTTGGCAATCTTTCCTGCTGCAGTTATAAAACTACATTGAAAAAGAATTCTGTGTGATATATTTACTTATACAGGATTTCACAATATTCAAAAGATCATTATGAGAAAAGCAAATACGTACGGGGAAAACACCCACTGACAAATACTTCCTTATGTGTCATGGCATGATTGACCTTGTAATCCTGGAACAGATCTTCATATAACTATTTTCCAAAAATAAATAAATGGTCATTTTACAGTTTAATGCATCTTTCTGTACAAATTTTAAGAATCTGGGGATTGCTTAAAACAATTAAGAAAATGACAAAGCTATTTTAAAA